TTAATAAAGGCCTTCTGAGCAGACTCGATGCTTTGTGTAAGAATAATATCCATATTTAAAACTTTATAAACCAAAATCTCTAGCTTCTGCTAAATGTCGTACTGGTCTCGAATGGGGCATCTATACATATCTATGGTACTGGTGGTGCTTCAGCGGATGACACACAATGTAAATGTAGTGTAAGCTCCGTTGAGAAGTGACAAACGCGGAAGCACAGAAGAGAGAGCAAAACAAAACACCGTCACGAATTAGAAGTAAAACGCACAAATTTGAATAGGAAAATGTTGGACGATTTCAATATAAGCCAAGAAGAGACTGGTTTTCCTTTGCTGTAAACAAAACTTGGTTTTCGCGAGACTAGCATATCCTCACCAGAGCTTATGCTAAGCCTATGTCCTACGTCATCCGCTAAAACGTCACTCTCTCATGAACCATTGACTATACATACTTTTTTCCATACTATGGAGGTCAGTGGTTACCTACACCTGCAACCAACATTCTTCAAAATACCTTTTTTTAGGCTCAACAGTAGAAAAAAACTCATGATTAGTTTAAAGAAATAATGTTCCCAATTTCATTGGGTGAACTATGCTTTTACATGAAATAACAATGAATATACTTTTTAAAATATGTATTATGTTAATTTCAACCTTTACTGCATATTCTCATTGGAGCTTATGCTATATGCTTACGTCCTACGGCATCCGCTGGAACGCCACTCTCTCGTGAACACCCATAAGACAAGTAGCGGAAGCTAGAGATTACGATTTATTTGTATTCTTACACAAATGCATCGATTCACTTCAGAAGGCCTTTATTAACCCCCCGGAGCCACTGTGTAGTACTTTTTATGATAGATTTATGCATCCATTATAAAGCTTGGAAGAGCCAGAAAAATTTTTCATATAACTGATTGCGTTCATCTGAAAGAAGCAAGTCATATACACCTATGGCTTGAGGGGGAGTAAATCATGGGTTAATTTTCATTTTTGGGTGAACTATCCATTTAAATGTCTGCCAGTTACAAAATAATTTTACCATATGACTTCAAATTTGACATTATTGTTATTCTGTCAATTAAACATCACTTGGTGCAGTACATTTTATACATCGCTGTTCAAATATTTGGGGTCGTTAAGATTTTTTCATATTTTTGAAAGAAGTCTCTAATGCTCACCAAGACTGCATTTATTTGATCAACAATACAATATTATTACATTTTAAAATAGCACTTTTTCTTTTGATTTATTTTAAAATTATTAACTTATTTAAAGTCCAATTTCCAGCAGTCCAGTCGTCAGTGTCACATGAATCTTCAGAAATCATTCTAATATGTTGGTGCTCAAGAAACATTTCTTTATTATATCAGCTGTATAATTAGGATTTTGCTCTGTGATGTATAATATTGGCCTTGTTTAATATCGTCTGAAACATTTCTCCATGTTTAAAACAGTTTTGCAGCTTAAAGGAGATGTCTCTCTGTCTCTCTCTCTCTCTCTCTCTCTCTGTGTGTGTGTGTGCATGTTTATGTGGTTTATGAGGACACAAATTTGTATAATAACATGGGTATGACATAGGTATTACAACGAGAAGGTGATTTATGAGGACATTTTCAGTGTCCCCGTAATTCAAAAGGCTTATAAATAATTCAGAATGAGTTGTTTTGAAACTCTAAAAATGCAGAAAGTTTCCTGTGAGGGGTAGGTTTAGGGGTAGGGTTGGTGTAGGGCAATAGAATATACGGTCTGTACAGTATAAAAAACATTACGCCTGTGGAGAGTCCCCATAAACCATAAAAACAAACCTGTGTGTGTGTGTGTGTGTGTGTGTGTGCTGGTTCTATGTTTGGGTGGAGTTGTTCCCTTTTCCCTCAACTCATCATACCTAAAATCACCATTACTATTTAAAATCTAAACTTAATTCTTAGGTCAAGACATTAATCAAAGATCTGACAAACCTGGTTACAATGAGCTGAAATGTTGTTTTGAGTCCAATCTGACCTGCTGGAGGAAAGAAAATTCAAGCATAATTTGTTGTTGTTGCACTAAAGGCCTCCCAGTTACAGCAATTACAGATTTTTTGTTTTTATATATAGAGACATGCTGGGTATGCAATCTGTATCTACAGTGTATTTCTGGAGCGCTGCGAGTTATGAATGTACTGCTATTTAAGTGTGCCATCCCCTCGTACCATTCATTACTCAGACATAATATTTCAGGTTAATGGTGCATACGGCAAGTTTCACAACACTGTAATCTTGGGAACACACAGCTCTGGATACCATCCATCTAGTAGTTATTGTGATGCCAGACTCAAAATTCGCTGCTAAGACCGATGACCTTTCCATGCTCAAAACTGAAGTCACATTTAGATGGATTGGGCAGTTTCACAGCTTGGTGGTGCATTAAATCTGGGGTTTATGCGATGCAGCATGATGGGGCCTGACACAGACGTGCTTGGATTTTAACACATCGAATGATTGTGTTTCTTATCTGAATTCATCTATTATAATTTTGTTTGAAATTACATTGATTTTAAAGTCACTTTAAAGGCCATATTTCCCCCTGCTTGCCAAAAGCATTGCTCCTGCTCTCTCTTTGTTGGCCAAAACAGTCCCACAACTGAATTGCAAAGGTCTTGGTAATTAGGGACAACTGTGCAAGACAACCAAAATGCATCGCTTCCAATTCTAATTAAACGGAGAATATGTGTTTTGATAGGAGACCAGTGGCTGAGAATCTCATCCAAATGTGTGATGTTTCACTCCATGCTAAATTTGGTGTAAAATGGATAATCGTGCCTGGCTCCGAGTGCTCTCTCTTTCCCCGCTTTATGTTCCAGCATTAATTTGATTGCCTCATTTACAGCCAGCTCCAGTGCTGTTGCCAAGGATACAGGAAACACTTTTATTGGTCTGTTTGTATCCAATCTTTGTATAAAGCTGGTTTTGAAGCGTGGAAACTCTACAAACATCTGACACAATTGCCAAAGGCATATATGCATGTAAGAGACAATCATAAAGGACAGAATTATTTGCACATAAGCCACTCTGAGCGAGAAAAAGGGGCAAACCTGATTTTGTTTTGTCCTTTTTAAAGCACAGTTGTTCTAATAACAGCAGCAAAACATGAATTACTCACTTATTAAAGGAATAGTTCACACAAAAATGAGAATTTGTTGAAATTGTACTCACCCTCAGGCCATTAATGATGTAGGTGAGTTTGTTTCTTCATCGAAACAGATTTGGAGAAAGTTAGCATTACATCATATGCTCACCACGATGGTCTGCAGTGAATGGGTGCCGTCAGAATGAGAGTCCAAACAGCTGATTAAAACATCACAATAATCCACAAGCAACTCCAGTCCAACAAGTGACATCTTGTCAGGCGAAAAAGCTGTGTGTTTCTAAGAAACAAATACATAATGAAGATCTTTTAACTTTAAACTGACACTTCTGGCCAAATTACAAATCCATAATCCATAACAAAGCTTCATCCAGTGAAAAAGTTAATCTCCTGTTGTCCTCTCACATCACTGACATGTTTGATTAGAACTGTTTTGGACTGTTTTCATGTTTGATCTATGCATATTTCTTTCCTGATTCAGACTAGTTGACCTTTTCACTGGAAAAAGCAGTATGTATAGAGGACTTATGGAAGTTATTTTAGCTGGAAGCAGCAGTTCTAAGTTAGAAATGTCTTAATAATGGATTTGTTTATTACAAACACAGATTATATTATTGTGATATATTGTGATGTTTTTATCAGCTGTTTGGGCTCTCATTCTGACGGCACCCATTCACTGCAGAGGATCCATTGGTGAACTAATGCTTAATTTCTCCAAATATCTTTTGATGACGAAACAAACTCATCTACATCTTGGATTGCCTGAGGGTGAGTACATTTTCTGCACATTTTCAAACCATTCCTTTAAAACAAATTAAATGAGTGATTGGATTGACCTTTACTTTTAGGTCTGTCATATTACAGAGAGAGGGAGAACAGATTGCATGTTCATTCAGAAATCAATCACACTGCACAGTACAAATTATTATCGGTATAAAATCCAATAAGCCAATCATTACTTGGCACTGTGACATTCAGGATTTAAGATGCTTTTCTTCAGTGCCACGAATATAAAAAAGTCACGTTATGATACACTGATACAAGCCCTGCTTCCTATATAAATATATCCCAGATCAATTTTAGTAGTGTCCAAAATGTCGTCTTTATATAATGCTCATAAACACTGATCTCATCATAGCTGCCTGTCTGAGAACAAATTATAGAGCAACCACAACGAAATGATATACAGTATGGATTATGATGTGTCAAGCAGTAATTCAAATGGACAGCATGCTGCCGGTGGTTTATCTGATGGGTTCAGAGCCAACCAGCAAAGATGTTTCATAGTTGTGTCATCATCTCCCAAATGAAGAGGGGAAAAAAAGCTTTGTACTGGGGCTCCTAAGTTAAATTAGGCCAGACTTTATTTGTGTGTGTAAATAAAGAAATACATATTTTTATATATCCCCCCCCAGCTATAGAGGGGGGAAACAGTTCTATTACTCAAGGGACTGATTGTAAGTCACGGGACTACTGCGATGCTTTTAGAAAACTTATGGTATATTGAACATAGCAGTGTAATACGCAGACCAATGATGTCAGTCTGTTATTGAATGACTGAGCAGAGGAGATTGTGGGTGTGGCGGAATAGCAGGCAGTGACCAGCCAGGCAAAAAACATTTCTGTTTCAGTGGTGGGGGTTGGGCGTTCAACCGTGTTGTTGATCATAAGTCCGATTTGGTGAACTTTAAACACGGTTTTGTCATGTATTTTTTTAAAATAGTTGACTTTGAAATACAATACGGTACAAATCAGAAGTCTTCCATTACAATTTAATACCGCGAATCCACATTTCGCTTTAATACGCAATCCCCCGCATTGAAAATCTGATTAACAATGTTTAGTAAGTTTTTACTTTATTTGTTCGTGTTTTTTATTTTATTTTAATTATTTATTTTTGTGATTGGCAGGAAGCCCCGTTGGTCTGATATCTCATTTTCGCCTGGAGAGTCTCCGCCCTCCTGCTAGTCTGAGGCCGTCGGCTTCCTCTGAAGCGCTTGGCTGTCCATAAGCTGCTAAATGTTTCTTTTATTCCTTTATATGTCCTACAGACAAACAGGAAAATAGATATTATTCGAGGACAGAAGTATCACTGTGGAGTTGGAAAGGTCGCGGGATACCCTTCTGTCGGACCTGCGGCACATTTGTTCAGTACTTTAGCTCCAGAAGCTAGCGGTTGACGAGACTGGAAGCATCGGCACGAGTAAGACGAGCCTCTCCTTCGCCCCAAACACAACCCGTAACCCAGCTGTGCGCGAGCTGACCGTTCCGTTCTCCGTTTGCGTTTTTAGATGGCTGAAGTGTCTTTATAAGCTTTTAGAAGTGTTACTTTTGCAGAGTGAAACTGCAGCGCGTGCGGTCGCGCGGTGGGGGATGGGCGCCCTGGTTCCTCGCGCCGCGCACGTTGACAACAACTAACGTTAGCTTTTATTCAACCAACAAGTTAGCAGCGTTGCTATGGAAGCAGCCACGTGCTGGAACTAGAATCGCTCATTTTTTGCATTTCTTTGGGGAGTCTGTTGTTTCCGGTGACGTCTATCCACGATGCGCACTTAGCGTAAGCTAATAATCGAATGGCATGCAATGGCGCTTCCGGCAGGGACTTAGCGTGACAGTTGTTACGATCAGATAAAAAATATATTAGTATAATTTTTTTTTAATTGTGCTCTTAATTATGTTTTATTAACTAAATATATGAATGCGTTTTATTACGTAATTTAACTTAATTACGGGTGTCTTTTGACTTGAAGAATCGACCTGTTGACGGGCGTTGGTTTAACAATGATTATGATTGTATCAGCTGTATAATTAGGATTTTGCTCTGTGATGTATAATATTGGCCTTGTTTAATATCGTCTGAAGGACAAGGACATTTAGCTGTTTGATACAAATACATCAGATTTGGTTAAAATAAGTGAACTTATTAATACGTTTATTGATTTAGTACTAATGAGTAGTAAAGCAGTGTAATAATGTAACCTAATAGAAGCTAAATATAAATGTTTCATAGCATAAATAGGGTCTTAATACAAGGAACTGTATTTCTGCATGATTTGCAAAATTTCTGCACGAGGGTCCCTCACATGAGGGGGATCATATTTTTGGGGTCCATGATGGCATTGTAAAATGACAAACCCCTGTACTAAATGACTGAGAATCACATGCTGACAGCCTTTCAAGTTGTTCTGAACAGACAGACTCATGACAAATACGTTTCTTATGTTGAAGACACAAGAAGATATTTTGAAGAATTCTGTTGGTCCCCATTGACTTCCATTGCAGTGAAAGGAATGCCATCGGGGTCAATGGGGACCATCAACAGTCTGATTACCAGCATTCTTCAAAATGTCTTCATTTGTGTTCAACACAAGAAAAAAACGTATACGGGTTTGGAACGACATGAGGGTGGGCGGAATTTTCATTTTTGGGTGAACGATCCCTTTAATGAAAGAAGTCTGAAAAGTGTTTTAATCCTTTAGCTTGCATATTTTTATCCTGCGTAGTGTAAAATATATATGAAAACATATATGGATGAAACAAGGATTACAAACAAATGTTACTTGGTTGTAGTATAGTGGAAAGTTGTTATATTATCTAGATGATTTAATTGGCCATTATTTGGCTATTTTTAATGTGTGAAGTGGCCAAGTATGGTGACCCATACTCGGAATTAGTGCTCTGCATTTACCCATCCAAAGTGCACACACACAGCAGTGAACACACACAAACCGTGAACACACACCCGGAGCAGTGGGCAGCCATTTATGCTGCAGCGCCCGGGGAGCAGTTGGGGTTCGGTGCCTTGCTCAAGGGCACCTCAGTCGTGGGGTTGCAGGTGGGAGAGAGTGCTGTACATTCACTCCCCCCACCTACAATCCCTGCTGGTACGAGACACGAACCCACAACCTTTGGGTTATGAGTCCGACTCTCTAACCATTAGGCCACGACTTTGAGATAGTTATTGTGATTGGAGTAAATTCTGTGCCCATGTGGCAAAGGTCATCGTTTCACTGAGTGTCAGTTCCAGAATCTTCCAACAGCCTGACTAGTGGATAATGCCTTACTTTCAAATAATTCCGATGGATTTTGAGTAAATATTTTTCACATCTTTTATGTTTTATTATATATCAGGCATTGGTCAGCCATTTAAAGCCTGTATCGGTCAACCACTAGTGCAGTGCAAGTATCATTCTAGTAGTTTCAGAGGCTTGTTTCAGGCTGATCTCAGTATTGGCTGCCAGTTCAGCAGTTTGATTGCTGTGTGATCCGAGCCAGTGCAGTCAGACCCAGAGCCGCAGTACAGCTAAAGCGAAATAGGTCACAACCTGCCAGTATATCAGATACTTTCTAGAGACCACACCTGTGTCTGTGTGAATGTAACACTTATGTAATCTTCTTTATGTAATTTTAGGATTATAACATTATAGGGGTGCTCCGATCAGGATTTTTGAGGCCGATCACAGAAAGCAGTATCTGCCGATACCAATCACCGATACCAATCTTTTTAAAGCCTTCTTTTTATCATTTATAACTATACAGTGATACTCCAATCTAGATTTTTAGACATTTATTCAGGGCCTGAATTTCATTTTTGAAAATGGGGGGAATTTCCCTCTTATAGGTGACTCTTGTGTAGGGATGGGTACCGAAACCTGGTATTTAATCGGTCCTGGGGCTAAGTTATGAAAGACCGGAGTAGGGGTGTGCGATATTATCGCCTGCGATAATATCGTAATTGTTGTTTTAACTATGTGCGATTTGACATTATCGAGTATTTTGCAAAAAAACGTTCAAAACACCCCTACAGAGCGCATGCATACATTACATGAAGTCTAGACTAGTGCGCGCGCGCATTTAGAGTGCTGATGATTCAGTCTATTACAATACATTTAGAATGATCACAAATTCAAGACATGGGGGCAGAAAATGTATATATTTATACCACTTCAAATAGCCTAGTTAATCAATTTCACACGTTTTTTTTCTCCAAAAATGACAATGATTACAAATGTGATATTGATTTTTTACAACAGGTCAATAAACAAGAAGTTAATTAAGAGACTTACGTTTTAGACACCATATTTCCTGTTTTTGTGCTATTTCGACAACAAAACATAACTCCAAACACAACCACAGCACTGTTTTGCGTCTCTGAGCAACATGATGAGGTTTTGTTCTTGAATGAATCAATCGTTTAAGTGATTCGGTTCAATCGCATTGACTCACTTATTAACAGTGACTTGCTGCCACCTACTGGCGGTTTTAATTTCACATTCAGAGTATCTTTTATTATTTAAATAATTTCAAATATCAGTATTCAAAAGATAATGGACAATTTTAGAAAAAAAAGTCTTTAAAGGTCAAAATGCCCATAAAATGTAAAAATCAGTTAAAACTTATTGGAAAAGATTTATTTCTATCAGTGTGAACTGACCACTGCACAGAATATGAAGAATATCAAGCCAGCTGTCCACGGCAGTCCTTAAAGGGGTCATATGATGCTTTTTTAAAGATCATTATTTTAGTGTATTTGGTGTAACAGAATATGTTAGCACAATAACACACTAAAATATACAGCACAATAACACACAGCAAAATATCGTCTAATTATTGTTATCGATAAAAAAAAAAAGATGATCTTTTTTGTTAATATCGCACACTCCTAGACCGGAGTATCGATAAGCTCTGACGTTAATGGTTCTGCTATCGGTACTGGAGAAATTAATAAAACACATACATTTATTATTGCTATATATACATTATCCTGCAAATTCTTTAGAATAAATGCATACAAACAAAACTGTTTAAAATAGTTATCAGATAAATATTTTAGAATAGAGTTGATCTCATTCTTTTACACTGGTCAAATGTTATATCAATTGTTTAAACAATTCAAATCAAATTAAATGTATGCAGTTTTGCTGATGAGGTGAACATCTTTTAGCTCTTTCTAGTGGAAACAGATAAGCCTATATGTATTGCAGTGTAAATGCAATTGTCTGACTCGACGCGCCACTGACATAGTATTTTAAAAAGGAAACGTGTAAATCGTTACGTTGTATTCTTAAAATACAGTGGTAGGCTATTTTTCATAATGTTGTGGAGATGTCTTCACACGACAACACCTCCGTGCAGCTGCAGTTGTACAGTAAGGCTATGTTCACACTTGGCATCTTTTTTGAAGCTGCCAGCGTCTGTTTTACATTATAATCCTATGGAGTAAACCGTGTTTTAAAAAAAGTCCTGAGCGCTTTTTAAAACGCCACCGCCGGCGTCTTTTTCTGCAGCTCGGAGCGTCTTTTCAAGTTGAAAAAATTTTAACTTTTCTGAAAAAAGCGCCCTACGTCAAGCGCCTTTTTGGCAGCTGACCAATGACAAGCCAGTGGCGAGTCATTTCCATAACAAAAACAATAAGAAAAATGGAAAAGATAGCCAGTAGATTAGTTCGTACTAGTTTCGGAGCACAAGGAGTTGTATGATATGAGCACAAAACTGTATCTAACTTAGTCTAAAATATGCCACAAACCGTGCATCATTCAACCGGAGTTTCTGGACTAAATCGTTGTAAGCACCATACTGTTTCCTTCCCCGTATAATGTTGCGCACCCACAAACATCATTGTGAACCGACGTTCTCCTCCCCGTTAACTTCAAAAGGCAACACAAGAGCCAACATTTGACTCTTTCTCGACATTTCTGCAGCATATAGCGCTAGGCTACTGTTGCAGCTATTGTTATAGCAACAAAAGACGCCCTCGGCTGCTATTTGTAACCAAAACGCTGCCAGCTTTTTAATTTAATAAAGCGCTCGTCAACCTTTTCTTGTCAAAAAAGACGCCAAGTGTGAACACGCCCTAAGCTATTATAATTAGACCTATTCAAACCAAATCCAACAGTATCTGCCATAATATCAAGTAAGTGCGCATCATTGATCATGGTTTGGTTTAACTTCTGCGTAATGACTTAATGTAATTTCAGTGCTTATCTCCGTTAACGAGAGTGGAATATTTAATGTAACTGTGTAGATCGATATGAAAACAGAGTTTAAAATAGTTCTTTGCTTCATTAATTTTCTCACTCCAGGAAAAAGAGTTTGTACGCATGGGTCAGAGTTTGCGTGCAGGTGCGCAAATTTTTTCCCATCACTTTTGTTTTTATAAATCCCACCTTTTGCGTAGGAAGTGGCGTACGCCTCTTTCAGGGCAGGTTTTGTATAAATGAGTTCTAAATGAGGCCCCTGGTCTGTGATTGCTATGACTGTCTGATAAAAGATTTTAATGTAAAGATATTTAGCCAGACTGATCTTACACTGCTTAAGAATGTTATGTTTTGTAAGCACATTTTATTTGATTGTCAATATGGAAACACGTCGTAAACAACAGGGAGTGGTGTCATATATGATAGGTTGCTGTTTTACGTGAAGGCTTATTAGACTGTGAAAGAGGCTTAAAGACCAAACAAGAGGCTGTACGCGTGCATCTGGACTGAGTATTTCCTCTTGTTTAAACACATGCAGTTCTTCCTATCGCAATATCCGTCCCTACTGTGTAGCTTCCTAACAGTTCTTTCCAGTGGTGAGCAAATGGCTGGAAAATTTCCCCAGGGCTAAAATGGGCTTCCATGAGAAAGTTCAGTCGAGGAGGTCAGGTTCAGTTCTCTGTTTGGTTAAAAGGTTTGCTTTGTTTATGTGTACTGAGAGCAGGTTTACTACATCTACCACCCACCTCGGCTGGGATTATTAAAAAAAATAATAAATTGTACAAGCCAGTCAGATTTACTTCTTCTGTCTATCTATCTACCTACCTACCTACCTAACTAACTAATACTTAAAACCTATTATTGTATGTATTTTATTGTATTTTATGTCAGGAAGGTATAAAATATAAAACATTTAACTTTATTTTATATTTTTTCACCTTAGCAAAAAAGTGTTAAAGCAGCAGGGAAATTAAAATTCCAAAATTATGAAGAAAAACATAAGTAATGTGCATGACTTGTTAATAAATTAAATTAAGTTAATAAATGTTTTCGTTGTTTTTTGTTTTAAATTTAGTTTTTAAATTTTAAATTGTTTTGAGTTGTTTATTTTAGTAGAATTTTATGAGTTATCAGCTGATGAAAAGATTAAATGGTCTGTTTTCTGTTAATATATTTCATAATAAAATTGAATCCGCATCCTTACTGGTTTGCTGCTTATTTTTTTGGGAAACCTTTTTTTTTGTATTGTGAGTATTGTGTTTTAGGATTCTTTGAACAGAAAGTAAACAAAAAACAAACAAAAAAACATTTATTTGAAATAGAAATCTTAAAACATTATACATTCATGTCCTTGATTTATGAAAATATACATTTCTTATCAAAAAGCTAGCTGAGCCTAAACTTTTGCAAGTCGGTGGGTACTATATGAAGTGTGTCCAGTAATGTCAATGCTCTATGCTGTTGGTGAAGCACAGTAACACAACGTGCCTTTGTTTTCCAGGCTCCACTCTCGCCTTGACCTCTTGGTTCACCCAGGATCCAAAATGAGCATAAGCAGTGATGAGGTCAATTTCCTTGTCTACAGATACCTGCAGGAGTCAGGTGTGTATCTGATAGTTATCTGCACACTAGCTTCTTCGTTTCAACTAACAGCACATACTCCGTGTGTACCCTGTTTCATATTGCATGCAGTGGCAGATTTTTGCATCACGATACGGGACTGCACTGAATTTCACCTCAGAAGAATTTAGTAAAACAGCTGTTTATTAAACACTGCATACTATAGGGCTGTTGCTAACTATTGGCAGAGCAGGCAGTTGGTCTCTGCATTATAAAGGGCCATAACTACCACAGTACAATATAGGTAATGGCATATGTTTCATGCTTACATTGTGCACTCCTCACCAGGTACAATACTCTGATTGTTTGCATCTTGTTTTGAAGCCCATAAATAATAATGTACTTGTTTTAATACATTTATATTGTAATGTACTCATTCTAATATATTTAAATCATCTTAACATTGCTGGTAGGTTATCATTGCACAAATAAACACACTCTCTACTTTTAAAAAATAAAAATGAGAAGAGTTCTAAACTAATGTGCTGTCTTCACTGTACCTCACGCACACACGTTTAGTCACTCATGCAGCGCGCACGCACAGACATTCTTTTTAGCGCTGCCCCCCAATTTTATCAATAAAATAGCTTCATCGCTGAAGAGCTTCATTATCTTTCTCAACAAGGAGCTGGTAACATCATCGTTTCTAAAGCAATTAAAGGTACAATATGTAAGTTTTCACCGCTAGAGGGCACATATTCAAAACAAACAAAGAAACAAAGGTGTAGTTTGATGACGACGTGACTGAGTGTGGAATCATGGGAGTTGGGGTCTTCATCCCCACAGCCGACGCAATCCGACGGGACTCAGGCAGAAATCATGCTCATGGATGAGCTAATGTATTAAAGATTTATTAACATCGTAGTATGAAGCAGAGTGAGGCGGAAAGCCGTCGAAATGAAATGAGGCCGTTGAAGCAATTGCTAATGAGAGACGAGAGTGACACTCGGCTCGAAAGCAGCGGAGCTTTTATTATGCCACACTTTAGCGCTTCCGCTCCTTCCGGTCGTGGGTATGTGGGGTAAAGCAGCGCTGTTTTATCATACTAGATACGTTTGAAAGTTCTGTTATAATGCTACTCTGTGCGGTCGTCACCTGTCTAATGAAATGCACAACATATTAAAGCGTCTTTGGTGTTTCCATGCTGTCTACAAAACAAAACCGGAAATCGAGGGTGTATGACGTCATTGGCAGGAGACACAATGACTATAGACACGGTCCGTGTCACTAGTTAAAATAGCTTATTTCTCTGGATTTAAACATTCTTTGAAACATTTGGGATAATGCAAGTACACAGGTCAGCAAAATATATAACACTGTTCTATTGGTTTTTGGATATTTTAATAAAATCTTACATATTGTGCCTTTAAAGCCACAGCTTCACTGTTAATAGAGAAACACGGCAAAACGGTGGTGATTTATTTATACATACACAGCCTCTCTCTCTCTGTTATAAATGAACACTTGATAAATTACACTTCTGAGAATAGAATAGTGGAGATCGTTAAACTGCAAGCTAACCGGTGTTTTCAGAAAGCTGGCGCATTTATCCACAGTGGAGAGAGCGTGCGTGCACATGGTTGCCAGGTTGACAAAAACAAGTAACACACTTAAGCGGATATTTCCGTATTGGGAAAGTGGGAAGCTTCAAGTTTCGGGGATTACGTCTCTTTATATCAGGCAAACCCGGTTGTGTTCCTCTGCGGCCAGATTAAACCTTGTTGTAGCCTATATATTATGCTCTGTTCATAATTATTTTTAGAAACCTTGCCCCTTTCTACTTCGTTTTAAACACTGCTCTTGTATTCTAATTAAACTCGGTCCACTGCAGCGCATGTGCTGCGATATCAATAAAGGGACAGCTTTATCGATACTCATATCAACAAACTCTGTGACGATACATCTTTGTATTGAACACAGCGCTAGTGGTTCGACCACCTAACGAACCACCCGGAACACCCTAGAACCCACATTACATTCTAAAAACCACTCAGGATTGGCAATTATCCACATCTTGACGGTGTGTTTTGGGCAAACATCACATACTTTTTGTTCATTGAATGTAAAAATTTGATTTTTTTAAAATTATTATTATTATATGCTGTTCTTTTAAAGTTGTCAGAACTAATATCAGTGGTATTTCACTATATAGTTCACTTTAGTTAGTGTACTATTTAAATAATTTAACCCTTCAAACCGTTTTAACTCCTTCAAACTAGAGTTAACAGATTGTCAAACAAACAAACGCTGCACATCCATTCATATCAATGGAAATAGTGCACTGTAATGACAGAGAGTGAAACGTTCAGCTAGTCGGTGTTCCGGTGTAGGCAAGTGAAAATGATATGTGCTAAACTTAGTCTTAACCTTTAACCCAAACACTGGCAAGTGAAATCTTTAACAATTTACCTCCTACAATTTACATCTTAACAATTGACATTTAGTCGCCTAGCATTAAAGGGGTCATATGATGCGGGGTCATATGATGCGATTTCAATTGTTCCTTTCTCTTTGGAGTGTTACAAGCTCTTGGTGCATAAAGAAGAACTGTAAAGTTGCAAAGACTAAAGTCTCAAATCCAAAGAGATTTTTTTTTTAATAAAAGTTAAGAGTCAACCACGCCTACCTAAAACGGCTCGTTCTAACATGCCCCCACATGTCTACGTCACGATGTGAAAAGATATGCATAACGCCGCCCAAATGTTCACGCAAAGAAAGAAGGCGTAACTTTTATTCTTGCTGTAGTATTGTTTCCG